GACTAAGGACGACACCATCCTGCTGCACGGTGCCGGCGACAAGGCGGCCATTGCCTCGCGCTGCGACCAGATCAAGGCCGCCCTGGACGCCACCACCAGCGACTACGACAGGTCAGTGTGGGGGGGGCGCACATGAATGTTTTGGGACGATGTGTATGTTGATGTGTTGGGGATGGGGTGGGGGTTGGGGAGGGGAGGGGAGGGGAGTTTTTTTTGTTGGGGGAGGGTGGACGGGCGTCGGGCGAGCGGGAAGCCTGGGCGTGGGCGGCCGTGTGCGGGGTGGTGTGCGCGCGGCGGTTGGGCGGGAGGCTGTGTGCGGGGCGTTTCGACCAGGCTCAGGCGTCTCTGGGGGGCCGGGGGCGGCCTCGTCTGCGTGAGCGGTCACGGTAGAGGCCGCCCCGCACCCTCTTGATGGGAGCGCGTTGTGACGCGAGGCAGCCGAGCGGCCGGCGCCGCCTCCGGCGAGCGCGTTGTCGAGTCGCCCCACCCCTGGGACGGTCATCCGGGCGACCGCTTGACTCACAAGCAGGGCAGCTGACCGCCAACCACATGCACTCCCACTGCCACGCAACCTGCCATCCCTCCCATCCCTGCAGCTCTGCGGGGTCATGCTGCACGCACGTCCCCCCTCACCCCGCGCCCCAACCCTATCCCTTTGCCCTCAAAGCCTGCCCTGCACCCCCAAAGCTTTCCGCGCGCACACGTCAACACACACACACACCATCACACACACAATCACACAACTGCGCATGCACAAACACACAAACACACACACACACTGACACACACACACACACGCGCACCCACGCACACCCCTCCCCCCCAAGGGACAAGTTCCAGGAGCGTCTGGCCAAGCTGAGTGGTGGCGTGGCTGTCCTCAAGATTGGGGGCGCCAGCGAGGTGGAGGTGGGGGAGAAGAAGGACCGCGTGGAGGACGCACTCAACGCAACAAAGGTGGGGTTATAATTCAATATCCAGGGTTGACCAGGGGTTCAGGGTTGATCCCTCAGTGGCTGGTTGGTTGGTTGGGCGGGTGGTATCAATGGGGGGTTTTGCTGGGGTGCGGGGTTTGGGGTTCGGGGGTAAAGTTTAGTAATATGGCTCAGGGCTCATTTCTGCGGGGCCGGCGTGGCTGGTTGGGCGGGCGGACGGATGGATGGGTGTCGAAGGCGCGGTCAGTGGGTCGGCGATGGGTGGTCGGCTGGCTGGGCCACGGCCTTCTTTTGGTCATTGAACGGGGATTGGGGTTTGTTATTTGCAGAGGCTGGCCTGTGGGCGTGCGGCACGCGGGCAAGGGGACCGAACGCAAGGAGGCTTCTCGCCCCCGCCCCTTCCCCCGTAGCGCCGCGGCTCTGGCCCCCAACCAAACCTTGCCCAAATAATCACCCTCATCCCCAAGCTCCAACCTTGACCCCGGACCCCTACCCCCACCACACAACGTCAATTCCACCACACACACATGCATGCGTGCGCGCGCGCGCAGGCGGCCGTGGAGGAGGGCATTGTGCCGGGCGGCGGCGCGGCGCTGCTGCACGCGGCCAAGGAGCTGGTGGCGGTCAAGGAGAAGCTGCAGAACTTTGACCAGCAGATCGGGGTCCAGATCATCGCCAACGCGCTCAAGGTGCAGGGCTGGGCTGGCGGCGGATCGCAAGGCAGCCTGTGGAAGCACTTGGCGCGCCCAAATACGGCGTATGCGGGCCCGGCGCGCTGCCTGCCCCAGAGTCGCCAGCGCTATTCGCTGGCACGAGCGGCGCGGCAGCCGCAGGGCAGGCCGCTGTTGCCAGCTCAGCCAGCGGGGGATGATTATGCATCTGCACCCGCCCCTAACGACGTCGGGCGCTGCCTTTTGATGGCGATCAGCCTTCCCAACCACGTTTGCAGCCAGCTCTCATCACTCAATACCCGCAACCCCACCCCACTGCGTCCGCACCGTCCTGTCCAACCTTCCTCCATCACCTCCCCACCCTGTGCAACTTCCCGCCCCGCTCCCGCTCTTAAATCACCACGCTCCGCCCCAAACCACCATTCCCCCCCCCCAACCACAAACAACATCGAC